GTCATAAATGTATCACTCTGATGGGGGATGCTGATAATGGGTGAGACTATGCATGTGTGGGGCAGACCGTATATAGTAACTCTCTGTACCTTCCTCTCAATTTGCTGTGAACCTAAAACTGCTCTAAAAAAAAAAAAAAAAAAAGTCTTACAAGCACCAAAAGAGATTGTGTTCCCTGTTCATCACCTAAACCTGCTATTTCAGAGGTCCCCAATAGTTTGCTACTTCCTATGAGTGCACTTTAGTTCTTGTCCTACTGGACCACTAGGTGCCCTCCTGACCAGTCCCTTTTCCTTAAAGCCTCACTGTTTGCACCGGCTCCCAGAACACCACTTTTACCTACCTCTACCCTACCTCTCCACTCCCTTTTGCGCCCCACTGGGTTCTTCTTCATCAGCTTCATCTCCTAAATCCTGGTGTTCCCCAGCATCCTGTCCTGGTCCTTTCTCTCTTCTCCCTCAACAGCCCATTCATATTCATGGTTGCAATGTGCTGATGTCTCCCAAATCTAGACCTTCTGTCCCAGAATCTCTCCTCTGCTCCACTGCCAAATTTCCAACTGCCACTATTCCAAGGGCAGAGAGTATATGTTTAAAACTGAAAGCAACATCTTTCTTCTATCTGTTCTTCTCCTGGTCCCCTACCTCAGGGAATGGCATTGCAATCCTAAACCAGAAATCTGCAAGTCATCCTCACCTCTCTCCCCTCTGACCCCTGTCATCTAAACAATCATCAGGTTCTGTCCATTCTGTCATTCAATCACCTCCATTGTTCCTCTCCCACTGTTACCACACAGTCCAGGCTGTGGGCAAATTTCTCCTGACACTTCAGTGATTTCCTAATTGTTTACCCTGCCTCTGGCCAGGATCCATCAATAGCTCCCCTTCTTGGATACACTCCAAACTCCTAACTAGGACAGGGCCATCCAAGATCAGCCACTGTCCGTCTATCCATCTCTTGCCACTTCCTCCCAGCATTCTGTGCTCCAGCCAGGCTAAATTTCTTTAAATTCCTGTTGCATGCTAAACTCCCTCCCTTTCTGGCTTTTGCACACACTGTCCCTTCCGACTAGAACATCTGTCTCCTAGGACCCTCTTCTTCTTCAGGCTAAACCCACACAACCTTCAGTTCTCAGATGAAGTACCAGGTCTGGAAAGTCTGCCTTGACTTCACCTTCCTGCAAACTAGGCTGGATGCACGTGTCCATGGTAGCATTTCCCCATCATAGCAGTCATCACACAATCATTATCGTTCATTCCCTTTAGGTCTTTCCTGCTAGAATCCAAGTCCCTCGAGGGCAAGGCTTCTGCATCCCGCCAACCACAGTAAGCTGGAGCCTAGCAGAAGGCTTTGGCAGAGAGAAGCTTGGTAAAGTAATTCAATGATGTATGGAAAGCTTTGCCTAATCCCTGCGCTATGAAAACACTTTATCCTCATCTCACTAAGGTAGCAATCACCACAGGCAGAGTAGCTAAATACAGAGCAGGAGAGGGACGAGAGTCCAGGTGCTATTTCCCAGCTCCTGGTTTTCAGACTTCCTTTGTATAACAAAGCGAAACTTACTTTTAATTTACATTTTAACTCACCCCAGGAGGGGGAAGTGGCAATTGATGATAAGATTTAAGAAACATACCACTATAGCACAGGAATGTCACCTTAGCAAATCCTAAATCCTACAGTCTTGGGAAAATCTCTCAACTTTCTTTCCTCTGAAAGATTCGCTATTCCTGCCTTGATTGCCCTTTGTATAACTCACTTTCAAGCCATCTAATATTCTCATCAAAGTGCAAAAAATCACAGGGACCAAGATGCAAATGCCCATAAAGGAAAGAAAGGAAAGGCGAGGCCTTCTCTAACAAGTAGAATTCCAAATGTGTATAATGAACTCTACACATTCAGATCATGACAGAGCCAAGGAACCTGGAGAAATTATAACATAGATCACATTTTAAAGAAGAAGTTCTAGCATTGTTTGCCAAAACATAAGCTGCATCAGAAAACAAATTCTGAAAGAATTAAAAATGCAAAACTTAATAAGCCAACTCAGAATGGCCAATATGATCTGATACTATACACGTGTATGCTCAGTTTGGGTACATTAATCATATTTTAGTTTCAATTTCAGTGTTTGTTTTTCTTGTAACAAATATGTAAACATGCACTAACAGAATATTTTTTACAATAAAATTTGTCAGCTCCATTTTTTTTTTTGGTCCCCATTACATATGTACAGAACGTGAATGGGAGTCTATCTTTATTTTTCAAACATTATTGTTAGGGGATTTATATAGACGCTGACTGAAACAATTATTTACATGGAAAATAAATGGCATCACAATGCGAGGTGAAGTTTTCTTCTATAAATTGCACTCACTCAAATGCATGGCCATATTATGCATTGATCTGGGCAGGAATCCACAGTCCACAGCCTATGCCCAGATATTTCATGTCCTCGGAATCAACCTTCTTCCACTGAGGAATCTTCTTCAGTTTCTATGTTTGATATCTAGGCTTGTCGTTTTAAGTATCATTATCCAAATGTGTTATTTCCAATACACCACTCTCACCTCCAACACTACTGCCCCCAGCCTTTGCCTTCCCAGTCCCATTACATATTTCTTTTCCTGAAGAATAAGCAAGTCCTAATGACACCCCTTGTTCTCTGCCTCCCTTTCTGGCCAGGACTTGAACTTACCATGAGCCCAGGCACTCACATTCTCTCAACCTAAGCCTACCTCACATCCTGGGCTAGAAGTCAAAATAGTCTGACCTTGAACTCCTTTGACCTGCTGACTCCAGAAATGAGCTGTTACACTGATGGTCAAGTCCCTCTATTCACATTTAGACATAACTCTAACTCTACCAGTCTGGAAAGTTATGCTCTCCTCTCCATTCCCCTGCTTTGCGCACACATCAGTAACAGTCAGAGTGGGTAACTGGAACGTGTCTAATTTGAGGCAAACTGTCCTCCAAACCTGTCTTCTATATAGTTTTTATAAAACAAATTTAGACACAAGCAGGTTATGTGAATTGCCTATCCGTTTTGCAAAATAACACATGGATAATGTTAAATCCTTTATTCTAGTCCACCCTAGATACTGTTACCTACTTTTTGCTTGAACTTCCTTAAATCCCAGACATTATGACCTGTACTCATGACTATAAAAAAGCAATGTGTGTGCCCAGGATGAGCACACATTTGGATGATCGGCATTTCCCTGGGAGGGTGCTGTGTAAGAGCCCCCCAGAGGGGGGAGGGGGGCTCTCTCTGCCTTGATTTTCCAGCTGAGGTGCCCTTATCCTGGGTAACACCTGGCAGGCTGGATCACCTGTGCTGCCTCCTCTCCTCTACCTTTTAAGTCAGGACCCTCTACCTAGAGGGCTGGAGAAACCCAAATGGAACAGATTCCGCTGGAGGCAGAACTCTGGTGTGAAATAAGACCTTCTGTTACTTAACTATTCAACGCCCAAATCCACATTTCTGCCTTCAGCACAGAGCAGCTGCCAATACTTCTGGCTCCTTTCCTGAGGCTCCCTGCCCAGGGAATTCCTCACTGGGTCCTGAAAATCACACCTCCTTGTGCTGTGTCCTTCTCTCGCAAACGCAAGGCCGCTCAGACTTTCTACAAGTGGCAGTCGGACCTTCTTCACCTTTTCAGGATTGCTCTACACCAAACTGGTGACTCAGCACAGTCGTCACAGCTCACGCTCGGTGGCCCCATGCCACCCAGTCTTCAGCACCTAGTACCTCCCTACCCTTAAACTGAAAAAATGTATCCCAAGTGGACTCACATGTGTTCTGCTAACTTTTCCACCAGAATATCCAGGTCCCTGTTCACTTTTCAAATGTGCAGCAGTGCTAGGGTTTGGTTTTACGGGATTGAGGACAACAGAGCATGATTCTCACTCTTCCAAGAAAAGAGTGCGCCAATTTGCCTTGGGAGTGTCTCCAAAAGGTAAGGAGAAGAAAGAGGAAAAGGAAGGCGGGAAATAATGTAGACGTTAGCCATTCTCCGGGTACCCTTCAGACGCCAACTCTACAACAGGGTATCAGGATTGCCTGTGCTTTTGGAGAAGCACCTTGAGTCCAGTTCCTGACAGGTGAGCACGGGAGATCACACGGAGACTTGGCCCTCGTTTAGAATTAACACCTGGGTCCAAGATCTAGTTAAACCGCTAGACACCAGGAAGGAAGGAATAAAGAGCGAATATAGAAAGAACGTAGAAGAGAACCTCAAATACCCAAAGCATTCCTGCCTCCCCACAGTCACCTGGAGTGGGCTGACAAGCCTGGGCTGGAGCGGCTGGGCCGCGCCCCCTCCC